TTTTCATGTCATCCTTGCACAAGGGCTTTTACGCTAATCTTCTCTCTATGTCCTTGTAATTTTAACAGACGTCCCGAAGAACTCTCTCAGCTTTTTGGCTATAAGACCAAATGTGCTTTCTGCTCTTCTCCGATTGGTTGAATATCTGATCCAAACGGTCCATTGGATAACGGTCGATACAAACGATCATTTTCGTTTTTTTATTATATATAAATTACAAGAATTTCACCTCTGACAAYGGAATACGAATGCCCCCAACCGCCTCTATTAATTATTACTCCAATCCCGAAGACCAACGCGAGATAGGACCAGGGTCTTATCGCGTTATTCCATGCTAATTTGCAAACGGAATAACAGGCCATCAGAAAACAGTGATGGAAAAAACAGTCCATCGGGAAACGGAAAAAGATAAAAAGGGGCCGTGACTCACAAGAGTCACGTTTACAAAAAAAAAAAAAAAAAAAGGAAAAGAAAGGAGGTTGATCTGCCTTCACAACGAGCAGACAAGCGGTGATGATAACCAGCACCACTGTTTAGGCGTAACTGCAAGCTATGATTGATGATATGATCATCATAAGGATGGACATCTGACAACGAACCCCATGGGCCTGGTTGCATTACTCGCTGTCCGCCAACACTGTGAATGCATCTGGACAGGCCCACTGTCCAGGTACATTCAAAATCTATGATATGATAATCAGGATGGACATCTGACAGCGAGAACCCCATGGGCATAGTCGCATTACTCGTCATCCGCCAACATTGTGAATGCACCTGGACATGCACGCTGTCAAGGTGGATGCCGAGTAGTGCAACAACTAGGCCCCATTGCTACCGTCTTCCCCCGAACATAACGCACACCCTGATAACGAATGTATACAGACTATCTTTCCGTCCCGATGCAGTCAAAATGATGGTGCGTTGTGTTCGGGGGAAGACGGTAGTATTCGCGATCAGAAGTTGGAAAAGTCATTCTCTACACGTGGGCTACGACATGACAGGTTCACAGATTCCCATTTGTTGAGTGTACTGTTGTGCGGCAAATTCTACAACAGTTACTGTGTTTAATTGCACAGACAGGTGTGAGGGCAGGGGGAACTCAAGCGTGTGCTTGGGGCAGCAAGCTGCACACTCCCCTTGAGTAGCCGACGAGGGTACGTCTCTCCTGGCCCCCGCTTGCGCCACTCTCCCAGGGGCTAGGTCCCACTTGCACCAATTAATATGCGATATTGACCGTCGATAGCGAAGATCAACGGCCGAAATCTCCTAATCCGTGCAAGTGGGACCTTGCCCCAGGAGGAGGAATACTTTACAAAGTGTAAGGGATTTGACACCGTGTTGAAGTGCGGGAGTTCAAACCACCACCATGCCGATCGCTAACAGCGCTTCACGTCCAAGGAGCACGTCACAAGGAATGAGTCAGGCATGCATTTCGTGTACTAAGGGATTTGCACACAGTGTTGGAGTGTGCGCGATTTCAGACCGCCATGCCGATCGGCAACTGCGCTTCACATCCAAGTAGCACGTCACAAGCGTGGAGTGAAGCACGAGCCAGAATTCAGTCCACCTTGAGCACGTCACACACACTTCAGTCCACCTTGAGCACGTCACACACACTTCAGTCCCGATCGACTGAGTCAGACTTGGAGCGAGCCAGGAACAAAGGGAAACGAAGATACGAAGAAGCCGCTCAGAGTTGTCGGGCACCATGCTAGAGGCTAGCGGGAATCGCTAGTGAGCGTCATTTCACAGAGGGCCGACCTTAACAGGAAGAACAGGTGGGAATAAGAAAGGACCAACAAAGAAATGATGGATGGATAATGAAACATTGAGCGATGGCGAGGGGAAGGAAAGTCGAAAAATGCAGCTATGGAGGACAGGGAACCGGGTGTTGTAAGCAGTTAAAAGTGACCTCAATGTCGTCTTCTGTTGAGATTCGGCCCTGGTCCCAGAGATTTCAGGAGAGAAAATAAGTGAAGAAGACAAGGAAAACGAGAGGAAGAGGAGAGGGGAAGGAGTTGAAGAGAGAAAAATGCATATGACATTTGCTAGATGTACTCAGGAGACGGAAAGAGGGGAAATAAATAAAATAAATAAAAAAAAGGGGGGGAAAGAGGAGAACGTACCTCCTCAGCAGGAAATGCTCCCAGGTGAAAAAGTGCCGCCCGCCAGGAGAGTTTCGCCCAGAAAGACCGGTGGTATTGGAGTCTGTAGCTATTTAACCAGACGAATGAAATCACGCAGATGGTGATTAAGGGGATACTCAGGACTTGCCTGATGCATCCGGGGGCAATTTTGCGCCCAGATTCACGCAAAATACAATATGAAAAAAGTTTCCGAATGAAAACGCCCTCGAAGACAGATGATGGAAGCGCCACAGCGAGGTCAAATGACAAGAGAACGAGACAAAGCTAGCGAGGGAGAAAGACAAAGAAAGCGGCAAGGAATGGAAGCGGGCACACAGAGAGAGAGAGAGAGAGAGAGAGAGAGAGAAAGGGTTCACTAGTTTTTAAAATCGCGCGGCAGTTTCACACCTCGCTACCTTCGCCCATCCGACTCACTGCTACGTGAGTCAAGAAAATTTTCATTTCACGGAAGGAAAAAGAGCCTGGCTGCGCCGCTCTCACAAGACGTGCGAAATGCCGACTCTGCTGTAGCTGCTGTACCGTCAGCTGTGGCTACAGAGTGGAAAGCTACACCCGCCATTATTTTGTCTTTTTCACAATTGGAGTGTGGAGGAGCGGGGCTCGAAACGCGGGGGAAACTTTGGCAACAACTTATTGCGCCGATCCACTGCATAATGTTTTCTTTTTTTTTAATGATCCTTCCGCAGGTTCAATTGCATATTTATGGAAGCACAGCGGGGACCGTACATATATTGCACCGATCCACGGCCAGCAATGAAAAAGCGAGCATGCAAGCGTTGGATAGAACTGGGAGAAGATTTCCATGATTCGTTGAAAGCGCGGGAGACAATTCTGGCAATTGGCGGGGCACGCGTGGGCGGGGCGAGGTTCCGCTCGCCTGGATTCTTTGAGATTCTAGCCGTTAATTTTCTCAATATCAAGGAACAAAAAGCCCAGACTACCCGTTCATGCGACAGGGGCCGGGGGCTAGGTCCCACATACACGAATTATTAAGCGATATTGACCGTAGATAGCAAAGATCAACGGCCAGCATCTCTTAATCCGTGCAACTGGGACCTTCACCCCGGCTTCTTTTTTCGTTTTTTTCTTTCGGTCCCCATCCCGCGCCCTCCTGCCCTCCTGCCCTCCGGGCCGAGGTCCCACTAGCAAAAAAAACGATAGGATCGAGCTCCCGAATCTGGATGTGTTTTATGCAGAGATGCAGAAAAGCAGTTAAATCTCGATTTCCTGCACATCTCCATAACCTCGTCCAGATTCAGGCATTCGATCCGATCCTCTTTGCTATATATATATATATCGTCACAAACAGATATATATATAGTGGGACCATGCCCCCGGCCTCGCGGACGAGGCTTCTGCCGGCAGATGGCCTTCTGGCGCCATGGAATGGAAAATGGAAAATGGAAAAGGAATGGAATGAATCGTACCGAATCAGCAACGACCGCCAACTCCGCCCCCGCGCGCGCGAACAAATCCGATCAGCGAATCTTTTATGTTTTACTTTTTCCGATTCCGATCGCCAACCAGATCGGCTAACAACTGCGTTGCTGTCGTCTCTGGGGCGTTTTCAATGCCGACAGCACTATACCCAGCGGGGGTTTCAATGCTTTTCAATGCCAAAAACGAACCAGACGGCGAAGCTTCTCCCGCTTTTTTTTTTTTTTCCCCGAAAGAACTTCTCCCGCTTTTGCCCTGGGGCTAGGTCCCACTTACACGAATTAAGAGATATTGACCGTAGATAGCACAGATCTAACGGTCAGAATCTCGTAATCCGTGCAAGCGGGACCTTGCCCCTGTCCTCGGACGGAAGAAACAACGCGCGTCGCTCCAATACTCTCCAAATGTGCAGAATGAGAACGAATCTTCTCCTAGAACATGGAAAGATGCACCGCCATATTTTTTGTCTTTTGTGCATGTGGAGAGTAGTGCAGCGAGGCCCAAAGTTTCGTTATCATTAGTTTCGTTTCTGCCGCGCTGAACGTGTGAACGTGCTTACGATCTCCTCACACGGACTACGATCTCCTCACACGGACATTAATCCTCTCCTCGCTCCACTACACTTCACATGCACAAAAGACAAAAATCATGGCGCCGCATCTTTCCATGTTTTAGCGGAAGATTCACTCTCGTTTTGGACATGTGGAGAGTTACTGTAGTGGAGAGAGGCCCATTGTCAGCTAACCGCTGGACGTAATTGCGGTCAGATGCATGCCCTGAGACTTGCTCTGATCAGCCGAGCACAAGCTGATACGTAGTTCGTACTCGACGGCCAGCACACATGAGTAGTGGAACGAGGTCCCATTTGTTGTTCTTGCTTTTGGGCCAACATTCTGAATGCACCAGGACGGATTTTCCTTCTGAGATTCATTGCATCAGGACGGATTTTCCTGCTCAGATTCATTGAGAATTGCGGCAGATGGGGAGTAGTGCAACTACGGTAGGCGGTAGGCCCTTTCTCTTTGTCAAACAGACAGAAAGCGAAATGTCTCTTCTTTTCAAAAAAAACAAAAAAAAGGGCTCTTCTTGCTCGTCTGTTTTTCCCTTTCCCTGGGGGCGAGGTCCCACTAGCAAAGAGGATTGGATAAATCCCCGGAATCTGGACGTGTTTTAAGCAGGGATGCAGAAAAGCAGTTCAATCTCGGTTTTCTGCACCTTTCCGACCGAAAAGTCCAGATTCAGGCTTTCAATCCAATCCTCTTTGCTTGTGGGACCTCGCCCCTGCACTTGGATCACGCACATTCCTGCGCGTCGACAGAAGGAGAATCACCAACCGGCCAACCTTTTTTTTTTTTTTTTCCAACCTTGTTCGACCTCGCACCCCACAGCACTGGCACCGCGTAGAGAATCTTTGCTCGCTACCAGCAGGGAGGCTGTTTTGAAGAACACCCGAGAGACAGCTCAGGCGATCAAAATGATGGAGTTGAACAAGGCGAAGAGATACCTCGAGGATGTCATCGCCCACAAGCAAGCCGTTCCATTCCGCCGGTTTTGCGGTGGTGTTGGCCGTACCGCTCAGGCGAAGAACAAGGGTCAGACCAACGGGCAGGCTAGATGGCCCGCGAAGTCTGCCAATTTCCTGCTGGGACTCCTGAAGAATGCCGAGAGTAACGCTGAGGTGAAGGGTCTCGATGTCGACACACTTTTCATCTCCCACATTCAGGTCAACAAGGCACATAAGCAGAGGAGGAGGACGTATCGTGCTCACGGCCGTATCAATCCCTACATGTCATCACTATGCCACATCGAGCTTATTCTGTCTGAGAGGGAGGCACCTGTGAAGAAGAGGTTGATCCCGAGCCTACCGCCACGAAGAAGCGAAAGGGACCTGCCCGCATCCGCAGTGGAGCCACGGCGTAGTAGCGTGCTTTTCTGGCAGAAAGGAATTTCGAAAGCATTCTTTACGTTCTGAATTTAAGCATTGAAGCGAGTTTTGAAGAGGACGGAACAGCCGTAATTCCCTTTCCGTTTTGAAGACATCCGTTGTTGGATGTTCTAGAGGTCCCATTTTCCAGCGTCGGTATACTTTGGGCCTAATTGAGCCGAACGGAAACGAAATGTTTCTTTGTTTGAAGAGAGCATTTGAAGAGGAAGAGGTTTTTTTTAAAAGAAAAAAAAAAACGAAATGTTTCGTTGTTTGAAGAGAGCATTTGAAGAGGAAGAGGTTTTTTTGTTCAAAAAAAAAAAAAAAAGAAGAAGAAGTTCAGTAATGAAATGAGTAATAAGAAAAGAATTGAGGTCTTCTCTTTCTCAGCGGCGTCGGGCGTGAAGTCGGGGGGAGTTCCGTTCCCTTCACACTCGGCCCAGAAACGAAACAGGTGAGTAAAAATGCAAATTTTTGCGAAGACCCTGACGGGCAAGACCATGGGCCTCGCTGCACTACTCTCGAAATGTGCAAAACGAGAGTGAATCTTCGTCTAGAATATGGAAAGATACGCCGCCATGATTTTTGTCTGTTGTGCATTTCGAGAGTATTGCAGTGAGGGCCCATAACGTTGGAAGTCGAGAGTAGCGATACCATCGACAATGTGAAGACGAAGATTCAGCAAGGAAGGTATTCCTCTTGATCAGCAGAGACCCATATTTGCGGGAAAGCAGCTTGAAGATGGCCGGACCCTCGCAGATTATAACATCCAGAAGGAGTCCACCCTAAGTCTTGTGCTGACACTTCGGGAATCATCAAGCCTTCGCTGATGGCTCTTGCGAGGAAGTACAATCAGGAGAAGATGATTTGCCGCAAGTGCTATGCAAGGCTGCATCCGCGAGCGGTGAACTGTAGGAAGAAGAAGTGTAGCCACAGCAACCAGCTGCGGCCAAAGAAGAAGATCAAGTGAGAGATGCTGCTCCCTTTCGGTGTGATAGTCTTTGTGTTCGTGCCATTTCGAGTGTCTTTGGCTCTCGAGTGCCGAAGCAGCCATGACGGCATCAGAGATGGATCTGTAGATTTCGAAGCTACAAGGTTGTCGTTGGTGTGATGAAGGCTGTCGTTCTGGTGTATTCGTGGCCAGAATTTTCTGCCGCCTCACACGCACGCAACGTGTAGTAGACTCTGTGGTCATTGTAGTAGACTCTGTGGTCATTGCAGTCGTGATTTTGGATTTTCGATACAGGCGGTGGAGTAAGTGAAGACAGAAAAAAAAAAAAAGAATGGAGGTCCATCCATATGAACAAGTGGCCTGGAAGGCCCAGCACCTCCATCCCAACCCAAAGTTCGCCGTCCTTCTTGCTGCAGTGGACATGAAATTGTAATGAAATTGGATTGAAATGCATGTCTGCAGACTGTGGTGGTTGGAGGTCTTGAATGGCGATCAGAGTAATTGGGGGTGTGGCCGAGGATTTTAGGCCAGTGGGGTTGAATAGCCCGGGCGGAACAGGAAATTCGTGTTCCGTACCGAGGCGTTCCTTGAATTTAATTTGGCCCTTAAACGGCGATCAGAGTAATTGGGGGTGTAGCCAAGGATTTTTGGCCGGTGGGGTTGAATCGCCCGGGCGGACGGGGGGATTTTTGTTCCGTACCGAGGCGTTCCTTGAATTTGGGCTGTCGTCAATGGCAAAAGAGAGAGAGACCGGGCAAGGAAAGAGGTTAATTTGAAACGACAGGTTCTGCCCAGTTTTCAAAAACTCACTCTCGGCCGAGGGGCCTGCAACCAACGTGTTACCCAGCTGACCATTGACAAAACCAGAAGGAGAAGAAAAACAACCGGGAGAAGCAGAATTCACCACCCCTTTCGTGCTACATCCATGCTAACTCGGTGGCGGAAGCCCCATCGGCACAGAGTTGTCAGGCCTCGGTGTCTCATTCGTCGAGTCCATGCGGATGTCCCGGTGCGGCGTCGCTTAGTGTAGGCTGGGCTGGGGGAACCCAGGTCCGGAAGTTAGCTGGGAGCGCAGCCGCATTGCGGGAGAGTTCTGGGAATCGAGCCGCACCTTCGTATCGTGGGACTAATCTTCGCCAGGAACACGAATCTCCCTGGCAACACCAGCGGCGATTAAACCGATGCAGCCACGTGGCGTGGGCCGCTGACCAGGGTAACACTTTCGGATCCGTATAGGGCAGGATCAGGGGAGGGGAGGAGAACCGATCAATCAACACAAACCCACTCCCTCCTATGTGACAGGCCCTAGCAGGGTTATACAGACGAATCTATTCGGTTCATCGCACAGTGCTTCGTACGTCCGCATCGCACTACACGCTATTGTCGCCTGCGATCGGGGCAATGGACCAACGCGAAGATTGAGCGCGGGCAATGGCCCGCGCTCACGTTCGCCGAGACGAACGCTGACTCCATACAAAGGTCAAAT